ACACTGGTAGAAAAATTTAATTATCGGTTTAAAATCTTCCAAAAATAAAATATATATTTGTGACACGTTATTTGAGTATGATTAGCAAATTTAATATTAAATTAATCTGGTTTGAAACAAATATTACTTATTTATGGCATAAAAAATAGTATACAAGCATTTCTGTTTTTCTTTTGTCTTTATTGACATATCGATAAGCTCCGAGGTGTTGACAGCTAGTATGGATGACCAGAATTGACATAAATTTACGAAATCTAAGTGAACACATTTTTTTAAGTACTTTGTAATTTTTACAAATTAACATATTTTCAGCAATTATTTTATCGACTTTTAGTTACGGTTGAAGATACTTTATGAAAACGTAGTAAAATTTAAAATACTATAAAATTTTCTTAGAATAATTTTAAAATTTAATAACTGAGATGAAATACCATAATAGAGGTAACTCAATAATTTTAGACAAACACTAAAATAAATACATAAATTAAAAATATTTTGTGAAATACAAATTAAAAAAGTAAAACTTACTTTAAATTTTTAAATTTTAAAACTGAAGGAATGATGTTCAAAACTTGTTGAAACGTAAACAATGAGTGATGAATTGGAGACTATTTATCTGTAAAAAGAGGGCCAGTCTTAGAACACATGACCTTTTCATAATAATGTTAGGTATGGACTACCATAGATAAAAAATTGGATTGCTTAAAGTAAAAAAAAAATTTGAAATTATTTTAAAAATATTAGTGTAAAACGACTTACATTAAGCAATTTTTGATTCATAAATATAGTTTCTACTTAATTACAATATCACCTAAAAGTAATACGGTGTGGGAGATTTTTAAATTATTTGTAAATTATGATAATTTATTATAATCAAATTTTTAAAAAAATGAAAAATTCTTGTAAAAATTCATTATTCATCAAAAATCTTTTTTTTTCCTTAAGACAATAATGTCCTAAATATAATTCATTTACAAAAGCAATTAAAATGTTTTCTAATTAAATAATTTGATAACTTTATTGCATTTGTTTCAGATTTTCAAATAACGAGCAAGAGTTTGACAAAAAAAAAATTAGATGATTTACATTCTCCAAGAAGTCATACTTTTAACTAATAAAAAAAAAAAGGTTTGAACATAAGATTTAATTTCTCGAAATTTCATGAAATTAAGTAAGTGGGATGAATGTAACGCATGTAAAACATATTTTTACCAAGACTTTTTAAAACAAAAGAATTCATTAATATTTTCATTCATTCATGAATAATTTCTGAAGGTTTCATTAGAATCCGACACGTATTTGATTTTTGCAAGAATTTCCAAATCAATGAGTTTTTCACCGGAAAAACAAAAAAATAAACACTTTTAATTGTAAAATTACTTATGTCCCTAAAAAAAAAAAAAAAAACAGGATTTTTAACCAAAATTTCGAACGTGTTAGAAAATTAAAAAATTTTTTAAAATAATTAAAAAAAATACTTTGGACATACCTCTTAAAAATAACATAAACAAATTGACGATAAAACTCTGTTTTTATTAAGTTTGGCGTGTTTACTTAAATAAATTGTATCTATAAAAAATAAATAAACAAAAATATATTAAACCGGTTCAGGCTTAATCCAAATTATATATTTGTCATTGATTATGCCTTGATACGTTTGAGCAGAAAATGATCGCTCGAGAAAAATCGTCAATCGTTGTGCGTTTATAAACAAATGAACAACTTTGCTAATCAGACGCTTCTTTGTAGCTAAATGGTAATAGCACATCACATCAAATAAAAGGTTTGATAATAGAACTGTTTTTTCAATTCCTGTTGCTTTTTTTCATATTTTCTACTAAATTTCTCGAGCATTCAGACCAGTAACTGTAATTAATAGTGTTTAATAAAAAAAAAAACAGTGCATTTACTTAAATAAATTATATCCATGAAAATAACGTATAAACATAATATACATACATATATATATATATATATATATATATATATATATTATAGAAGTTGAAATACATGTCAAAGAAAACGAAATCAGTTTAAAAATCTTATTATCAAATTAATTTCGAAAAAAAAATGGTTTAAAAAAAAAAATTTAGGAACATGAGCGTTAAAAAAATAATCAAAAAGCATACAGGTTTCGTTAAAGAAAAAAAAACCCTATACGAGTAAATTAAACTTGTCAAAAGTGAGGTTTTCAATACAAAAGTTTAGCAGACCTAGTCAAACCTAGAGCCAGACAAACCTATCATTTGAGATCTTTGGTCAAACATTTTAGGTTTGACCAAAATGATCGTCATTTTTAGAAATAGATATTATATATATATATATATATATATATATATATATATATATATAAGGCTTATTTTTCTGCTTGCAAATGCAATTCTACCAACACAAAAACCTGAAAAATCAAATAATTTGAAATTATAAGCAAATTTAAAAAAAATTCAGTATAATAAAACATTAAAAAAAGGATAACCTAAATAAACAGAAAAAGACAGACCAGAAAAAGGCACACGTCTAATAAACGCAAAAAATAATACATATATATATATATATATATATATATATAGATGCCATCAATATATATATATATATATATATATATATATATATATATATATAGAACTCCCTAGAAATAAAATACCATGTTTTAAACTTCCTCGAAAATGGACTCATCTTCAAATTCAATTGTAAATTAAAAAATAAATTTAATCAGATATGCGTACAAGTATATTTTTAATTCTTACCTTAGGCTCCCTCTTCCTTGCCCTTTTCAACTTTCAAAAAAAGTGAAAGACTTGTTTTCAAATTTCTCAAATAAAGTAAAAATTTTTCACCATATTTTATCTGGGCTGAATCGCCACTAAAAATATAGTTCCGGAAAAATGAAATTTTTTTGTTTGATGTAAAATGTTTTTATTGTAATCTTTTTAATATATATATATATATATATATATATATATATATATATATATATATATATATATAATTATTTTTTATAAAAAATTTATAACATAAGTATGTTATAAAATCACTACAAAAATAGCCATTTGTTTCAAACACTCTGTGTCTTATCAAGTGATGGTGTTGAAAGAAAATAAATGGTTTTAAATTTTCAAATTAATTAACAATAGAACACTAGGGGGAACATTGTTACAAAAGCTAGAATAACCAATCAAAAATATAAAGTATATAAAGATTCAAAAGCTTGACAACAAAATCTTGCTATTATATATTATTTAGATCTTTAATATCTTTATATATATATATATATACGTGTGAAAATGTGTAGCCAAATATTTTTGTGTAATGTGTGTGTGTGTGTGTGTGTGTGTGTGTGTGTGTGTATTATATTATATAATTTTAAATATGGAAAAAATTAAAATAGATCAATTTCTCAATGCTGTCATTAAATTGATAAAATCTTCTTACCGTATTTTTGTCATTTCCTTTTATTTTCACTTTCAATCTCTTTTTTTGGGTGAAAATATTTTAATTTCATTTTTCGGAACTAATTTATTTTCGGATTTAATTTTAACTATTTTAAATTTTTTCAATAACGGCTTCTTTTTATTGAGCTTTTTTAAAAAAAAAAAAAAAATTGAAAAACAAAAACAATCAAAATTAATGCAATCTACTTTTCTTGCTCCAAAAGACATTGCCTTTTTTATTGGATCTAAATTTTTAATTTATTTATCTTAATTTAAAAAAATTTATATATTTATTAATTTGCAACAAATATCATCAATTATAAACGTTGTTAAAAAGATATATAAATTTTCTTTTCTTCTAAATTTTTTTAATGCTAAATTAAAAAAAAACCAATTCCTTACATCTTGTCTTTTAATTCACGGAAATTTAAAATAACTTTGATTTTAGTCGAGGAAAAAAAAATTAATAATCAGTTGAAATTAGTTCAAAAAACTCCAAAAGATCATCTTCAAAAAATGAAATTGAAATGAATAATTTAAAATAATATAAACGAAAAATGAGTAAATGTATTCTTTTCTTTCGTTTAAAAATTTATAGAAAATATCATCTAAAATCAAGCTTGAAAATAATAAACTCTTTGCAATAGCAAAAGCCTGTTTTTTTTTAACATTTTGTTAAAACTGAAATCGGCATAATTACCCTATTTAAACATAACCTTAGTGGATTCTTCAGGATTAACATGAAAATTTGGTTTGCCTGCAAATAACTCATTTTGGTTGAATCGCAGTCACAGCTATCAGTTAATATTTATAATAAAAAACGAAAAAATACTAAAAAATACACTTTTTATTTGTTTTATTATTTTTCCACGTTTTCTTATTCTTCTTCTTCTTCTTCTTCTTCTTCTTCTTCTTCTTCTTCTTCTTCTTGGAACAAATTCTTCTCCTCCTCTTTCTTTAATTTTCAATGGAAAGGGGATTCGGTTCTTTCTTATTCTTTCTTTTTCATTTGATTTTTTTCAGCTAGGAATTAAATAAAAAAAAGAAAAAAGCCTTTAACGAATTTTTAAATTGTCTTTTGAAAATTTTATATAGGATTTTTCCAATTTACCTTTTTCTTCTTCTTTCTTCGTTTAGAAATATTGAAAAAATTTTTTTCAACTTTATATCTTCTTCTTCGTCCTCCTCGTCTTATATTCTCTTTTCCTTTCTCGTTTTTATATACCCTTTGTCTTTATCGTTTTCTTCTTCTTCTTCTTCTTTTTCTTCTTTTTCTTTTGCTTCTTTTTCTTCTTCTTCTCATTATTATTATTCATTTTCAAAAAAGATTTTTTTTCCTTTCATTTTTTCTTCAGGTTATTTTTCTTTTTTTTTTCTTTTTTATATACCCATTTTCTTTCTCGTTTCTTCTTCTTCTTTGTTTATCAATGTCTTTTTCTCATTTTCTTCTTATTCCTCCTCTTCTTCTTCTTCTTCTTCTTCTTCTTATTCTTCTTCTTCAATTTCTTTCTTTTTTTTTCCTCTTTCCTCTTTTTTTCTTTTCTTCTTTTCTCTTTTTCTTATAATGAGACAATTTCTTTTCCTTTCCTTTCTCCTTTTTTTATTCTTTTTTCTTCTTCTTCTTTCTCCTCCTCCTCCTTTTATTCTTCTTTTCCTTTCTTCTTTTTATTTTTCTTTCAGTGAATTCTTCTTTCTCTTTCCTCTTTATTCTTCTTTTTTTCTCCTTTTTTTTCTTTATTTTTCTTATTCTTCTTCTTCTTTTTCTTCCTCTTCTATTTTATTTCCTTTTCTCCTTTTTATATTCTTTATTTTCTTCTTCTAAAGCTTTTGAATTATTCTTCTTATTTTTCTTTTTATTTCTTGGTATTCTTCTTTTCTCTCTTCCTCTTTTTCTTCTTTATTCTTCTTCCCTTTCTCCTTTTTTTTTTTTATTTATTCTTCTTTTTCTTCTCCTTTTCCTTTTATATTCTTCTTTTTTCCTTTTTTTTTTTCTTTTATTCTTCTTTTTTCTTCTTCTTTTTCTTCTTTCTCCTTTATAATTCTTTCTTATTTTTTTCTTCTTTATTTCCTCCTTTTTTTTCTTCTTCTTTCCTTTCTCCTGATATTCTTATCTTCTTCTTCTTCTTCTCCTCCTCCTCCTTTTATATTCTTTTTCCTTTTTTATATTTTTTCTTCTTCTTCTTCTCCTTCTTCTCTTTCTTCTTTCTCCTTTTTTCTTTTATTTTCTCCTTTCTCTTCCTTTTTTCTTTTTCTTTCTTCTTCTTCTTTCTTCTTTTTATTCTTTTTTCTTCTTCTTCTTATTTTATATTCTTCTTTTCTTCTCTTTTTTCTTTTTTTAATTTCTTCTTCTCTCTCCTCCTTCCTTCTTATTCTTCTTCTTTCTTTTCTATTCTTCTTTTTCTTTTTCTTCTTTCTCTTCTCCTTCTTCTTTTTCTTTTCCTTTCTTCTTTATATTCTTATATATTCTTTCTCTTTCTTCCTCTCTTTTTCTTCTTCTTTTCTTTTTATATTCTTTTATTCTTCTTCTTCTTCTCCCCTCCTCTTCTTTTTATTCTTCTTTCATTTTCTCCTTTTTTATTCTTCTTATTCTTCTTCTTCTTTTTCTCTCCTCTTCCTCTTATCTTCTTTTTTCTTTTCTTTTTTTTATTTCTTTTCTTTCTTCTTCCTTTCTTCTCTTCTTCTTCTTTTTAATTTTTCTTTTTAAATTTTTCTTTTTTAAAATATTCTATTTATTCTTCTTCTTCTTCTTCTTAAAATTCCTCTTCTTTATTCTTCTTTTCTTTTTTTCTTTTTTCTTATTCTTCTTTTCTTTTTCTTCTTCTTTCTCTTCTCCTTTTCTTCTTCTTCTTCTCTTCTTTAATTTTCTTCTTTTTTATTTTTCTTAATTTATATTCTTCCCCTTTCCTCCTCTTTTCCCTTATATTCTTCTTTCCTTTCTCTTTTTTCTTTTTTCTTCTTCTCTTCTTCTTTTCTCTCTCCTCCTCCTTCTTCTTTTTCTTCTTTTCTTTCTTTTTTTATTCTCTTTCTTCTTCTTCTTTTCCTCCTCCTTTCTCTTCTATTTTCTTCTTTTATTTTTTTTTTTTCTTTTCTTTCTTCTTTTTTTTCTTTTTTCTTCCTTTTCTTTTTCCTTCATTTTTCCTTTTTATTCTTCTTTCTTCTTTTCTTTTCTCCTTTTTCTTCTTCTTATTCTTCTTTTCCTTTTTTCTTCTTTTTCTTTTCTTTTCTTCTTATTCTTCTTTTTCTTCTCCTCCTCCTTTTCTATTTTTTTTCCTTTTTTTTTTTTTATTTTCTTCTTCTTCTTCTTTTCTTTTTCCTTTTTTTATTTCTTCTTTCCTTTAATTTTTATTTCTTTCTTTTCTTCTTTTCTTTTTTTTTTTTTCTTCTTTTTTTTTTTTTTCTTTTTTTTTTTTTTCTTCTTCTTTCTTTCTTTTTTTCTTTATTTCTTTTCTTTTTTTTTTTCTTCTTTCTTCTTCTTCTTTTTCTCTTCTTTTTTTATTCTTCTTTCTTTCTTTTTTTTTATTCTTTTTACTTCTTCTTTTCTTTCCTCCTCCTCCTCTTCTTCTTCTTCTTTTCTTTCTTTTTTATTCTTTTTCCTTTTTCTTTTTTTTTTTTCTTTTTTTTTCTTTCTTGGAATTCTTTTTTTTTCTTTTTTTCTTCTTATTTTTTTCTTTAAATTCTTTTTCTTCTCCTTCTTTTTTTCTCTTTTTTCTTCTTTTCTTTCTTTTTATATTTTTTTTCTTCTTTTCCTTCTCCTCCTTTTTCTTCTTTATTCTTATTCTTTCTTTCTTTCTTTTTTTCTTTTTTTTCAAATTTTTTTCTTTTTCTTTTTTCTTCCTCTTCTTTTCTTCTTTTTCCTTTTATTTTTCTTTCTTTCTTCTTTTCCTTTTTCTCCTTCTTCTTTTTTCTTTCTTTTTTTTTCTTTTTTTTCTTCTTTTTATTTTTCTTCTTCTTCTTTCTCCTTCTTTTCTTCTTTTTTTCTTTTCTTTCTCCTTTTTCTTTTTTTTTTTCTTTTCTTTCTTTTCTTTTAAATTTTCTTTTTTTCTTTTTTCTTTTCTTCTTTTTTTATTCCTTCTTCTTCTTTTCTTTCTTCTTTTCTTCTTTAATTTCTTCTTTTTTCTTTTCTTTTCTTCTTCTCTCCTCCTCCTCCTTTCTTTCTTTTTTCTTTTTTTCTTTTTTCATTTTTTTTTTTCTTTTTTTGAAAAAATTTTTCTTCTTTTTTCTTTCTTATTTTTCTTTTTTTTCTTCTTTTTTTCCTCCTTCTTTCTTCTTTTTCTTCTTTTTTTCTTCTTCTTTCTTTTTCTTCTTCCTTTTTTTTTTTTATTCTTTTTCCTTTCTTCTTTTTTATATTTTTTCTTTTTTTCTCTCTATTCCTCCTCTTCTCTTCATTTTCTTTCCTTTTCCTTTTTTTTTCTTTCTTTCTTTCTTTTCTCTCTTTCTTATTCTTCTTCTTTTTCTTTTTTCTTTCTTTCTTTTCTTTTCTTCTTTTTTTCTTTCTTCTTCTTCTTTCTTTTTAAATATTCCTCCTTTCTTCTTATATTCTTCTTCCTTTCTCTTTTTCCTTTTCTTCTTTTATTCTTCTTTCTTTTTTTTTCCTCCAATTCCTATTTTTTTTCTCATTCTTTTTTTTTTTTCTTCAATTCTTCTTCTTTCTTCTTTTTTCCCTTCTTTTCTTTTTTTTCTTTCTTTTCTTTTTTTTTTCTTCTTCTTTCTTCTTCTCTTTTTTCCTCTCCTTCTTTTTTCTTCTTTTCTTTTTCTTTCTTCATTACTTTTTCTTTTCTTCTTTTTTTCCTTTTCTTCTTTTTTCTTTTTTTTTCTTTTCTTTTTTTTCTTCCTTTCTTCTTCTTTTTATTTCTTCTTTTTTCCTTTTTTTCTTTTCTTTTCTTTTTTTCTTTTAATTCTTCTCCTTTCTCCTTATTATTCTTCTTCTTTTTTTTTTCTTTCTTTTCTTTCATTTTTTATCTTTCTTCTTCCTTTCTCTATTTCCAAAAAATTTTTTTTATTATTTTCTTCTTTTCTTTTTTTTTTTATTCTTTTTTTTCTTTTTCTTTTTTTTTTTTTTATTCTTTTTTCTTTTTCTTCTTCTTCTTTCCTTCTCTTCTTCTTCTTTCTTCTTCTTTTCCTTTCTTTTTTTCATTATTCTTTTCTTCTTCTTCTCTTTCCTTTTTTCTTCTTCTTCATTTTCTTTTTCTTTTCCTTTTTATTCTTCTTAAATGATTCTTCTCTTTCTTTCTTTCCTTTCTTTTCTTTTCTTTTTCTTTTTTTTTTATTCTTTTTTCTTCTTTTTTTCTTTTTCTTTTTTCTTCTTCTTTTTTTCTCTTTTTTTTTCTTTTTTTTCTTCTTCTTTTCTTCTTCTTCTTTTTATTTCTTCCTGGTTTCCTTTTCTTTTCTTTTTATTATCTTCTTCTATTCTCCTCCTTTTCTTTTCCTTTATTTCTTTCTTTTTTTTTCTTTTTTTTTTCTTCTCTTTTCTCTTCTCTTATTATTTCATTTCTTTCTCCTTTTTTATTTTTTTTTCTTTTTTTCTATTTTTTTCCTTTTTAATTCTTTCTTTTTTCTCCTTTTTTTTTTCTTTTCTTCTTCTTTTTCTCCTTCTTTTCTTTTTCCTTTTCTTCTTTTTAAATATTTTTCTTAAACTTCTTCTTCTCTCCTCCTTCTTTCTTTTTTATTTTTCTTTTCTTTCCTCTTTTCTTTTTTCTTTTTTTTTCTTCTTTTCTTATTCCTTTTCTTTTTTTATTTCTTTTTCTTCTTCTTTTATATTTTTTCTTTTCTTTTTTTTCTTTCTCTTTTTTTATTTCTCTTTTCTTTTTCCTTTTATATTTTTTCTTCTTCTTCTTCTTTTTTCTTTTTCTTCTTTCCTTTTTCTTTTTTTCTTTTCTTCTTTTCTTTTCTTTTTCCTTTTTTCCTCTTTCTCTTTTTTTTTTATTTTTCCTTTTCTTTTTTTTTTCTTTTTTTTTTTCTTTTTCTCGATCTTCTTTTCTTCTTTTCTTCTTTTTTCTTTTTTTTCTTTTCTTTTTTTCTTTTTCTCCTTTCCTCTTTTTCCTTTTTTTTCTTTCTTTTCTTTATTCTTTTTTTAAATTCTTTTTCTCCTCTCCTTTTTCTTCTTATTTCTTTTTTTTCTTTTCTTTTTCTTCATTCTTCTTCTTCTTTTCTAAAATTTTTCTTTTCTTTCTTTTTCCTTTCTCCTTTTTATTTTCTTTTTTTCTTCTTCTCTTTTTTTCCTAAAAAATCTTCTTTCTTTTCTTTTTTTTCTTTTTTATTCTTTTTTTTCTTCTTCTTCTTTTTTTCTCCTTTTCCTTCCTTTTTTTTCTTTTCTTTTTTTCTTTTTCTCTTTTTTTTAAAATTTTTCTTCTTTCTTCTCTTTCTTTTTCCTTCTTTTTTTCTTCTTTCTTTTTTATTTCTTTTTCCTTTCTTCTTTTTCTTCTTTCTTCTTCTCCTCCTTTTTCTTCCTTTAAATTTCTTTTTCTCTTTTTTTTTTTTTCTTTTAAATTTTTTTCTTTTCCTCCTCCTCCTTTCTATTCTTCTTTCTTTTTTCCTTTTTTTTTTTTTTCCTTCTTCTTCTCTCTCCTCCTTTTAGAAAAATTCTTCTTTCCTTTTCCTTTTTATATTTCCGTTTTTTTTTTCTTCTCCTTTTTTTTCCTCCTTTCTTCTTTTTTTCTTTCTTCTTTTTTCTCCTTCTTTATTTTCTTCTTTTCTAATATTTCCTCTTCCTTTCTTTTTTTCTTCTTTTTTCTTTTTTTTCTTTTTTTAATTCTTCTTTCTATTTTCCTTTTTCCTCTCTTTATTCTTCTTTTTTTCCTTTTTATATTCTTCTTTTTTTTCTTTCAATTTCTTTTTTCTTTTTTTTTTTTAAAAATTTTCTTTTTCTTCTTTTTCTTTCTCCTCTTTTTTCTTCTTTCCTTTTTCTTTTTTTATTCTTCTTCTTCTTCTTCTTTTCCTCCTCCTCCTTCTTTATTCTTTTTTTTTTTTTTTCCTTTTTTTTTCTTTTTTTCTTCTTTTTCTTTTCTTTTAGATCCTCCTCTTCTTTTTCTTATTTTCTTTTTTTTTTTTTTTCTTTCTTTTTTCCTCCTCCTTTCTTTTTCTTCTTTCCTTTCTCCCTTTTTTTTTTTTCCTTTTCTTCTTTTTCTTCTTTCCTTCCTCTTATTTCTTCTTTCCTTTCTCCTTTTTATATTCTTTTTTTCTTCTCTTTTTCTTCTCCTTTCTTAAATTTTTTTTCTCTTTTCCTTTTTATTCTTCTTTCTTTTCTTTCTTCTCCTCCTTCTTTTCTTTATATTCTTCTTTTCTTTCTCCTTTTTTTATTCTTTTTTTCTTTTTTCTCTCTTCCTTCCTTTCCTTTTCTTTCTTTTTTTCTTCTTTTCTTTTCTCTTCTTTTATTTTCTTCTTTCTTTTCCTTTATTCTTTCTTTCTTCTCTTCCTTTTCTTTTTTTTCTTTTTTCCTTTCTTTTCTTTTCTTTTCTTCTCTCTCCTCCTTTCTTCTTCTTCTTTTCTTCTTTCTTTTCTTGTTTTTTTATCTTCTTTTCTTTTTTTATTTCTTCTTTCTCCTTTTCCTCCTCTTATTCTTCTTTTCTTTTCCTTTTTTTTTTTTTTCTTCTTCTTCTCTTCTCTCCTTCCTTTTTATATTTTTTCTTCTTTCCTTTTCTTTTTTTTTTTCTTTTTTCTCTTCTTCTTCTCCTCTTTTCCTTTCTTTTTATTAA